ATAGACTGTATGTCATGGCACTGCTTACACCATCCATAAAATCGGAGAAACTATCAGTGTAAAAATGTATCGTTATGTAATGATATTGAAAAAATTGAACTGTGCCATACGTCACGATCCAAAATAATCGAAATAAAACGGTTGATGATAGATATGGCCAGATACCGTAGGCGTGAAGACAGATCTTTACCGAGCGACTGATCGTACTCATCTCCATGTTTTCCGTAAACAATAGGAAACGGACCGAGAATCACTGAAGGTGTACGTGTGCCACCAAACAATTTTGCTCGTAGAAAAATCTGAGGAGGCGGAGCTTTCAAGAAAACTATAGCCTTGTATCGCTAAACGTCGACCAATCGGACACTTGATAAATATTCTATCGCCACATATCACAAACTTTGACGGGCCACGTCCGACGATTTCATCGACGATCATAGCTTGGTACGTAAAAAAAGTTAAAGGTACCACTTCTCCCTCGGCAAAGTCGAGTTTCCGACCACGGACAATGTTACCGCGTTCTCTTTAAAAATGCAACAACATTGAGAGTGCAGCTTCCATGACCTGCCGCACGACGCGAAGTTGAAAAGTTTTGCTGTTGGGGGTGTGTAAACGGAGAAGAACATAACATATTGCCAGGGATATTTCTCCAGAACGTTTTGTGCAAAGCACATAGCTCGTGTTGTAGAAGAAAATTGGAAAAAAACAAGACGAAAATGGTAATACGATTTTTAGTGATTCTTTTTCCATTGTCAAAATGTATTATGCCATAAAATATTACCGACTGTAACATCTACTTCGTATTATTGAGTATAAACTTCTTTCTGATCAAACTGAAGGTATAAATTCAAGATTATGTAGTAAAGAAGAAAAAATACAGTTTGATGAAGCACGAACGTTGGATACGAAGTTGTGCGCGACAGTTATAAAAAGTAATTCAAGACTTGAGGATGCGAACTAAAAGTGCCAAGAGAAAGCGAAAGTTTTTCAGTACCGCTTTTTTATCGTAGATGAACAAACTAAAGCTAGGAAAAAGAAACTCAGGTTAATTTTGTCTTAATAATATCTCAAAGAATATATCCGTCAAAACAAAAAAAGCTTTAATAATAATTTTTGGCCTCGTATTATAATAAACCTTTCTTGGGCAAGAGAAAGTACAAATAAAAAGAAACTGGAATAATGTTTTAAATAAATTTTATACATTTATTTTTGTTATTAAATTCTACTTTCGGCATTATTGTTTCATGTTCATATTAATTACGAATATATTATTTATCTTGAGTACATTGCTATTAGCACTGACATATATGACAATGATGCCTTTATTACCTAAAATGTTATTGTTTGTGATCATAATAACATATTCACGTAATATTCAAAAATTAAATAATACAATAATATAAAAAAATTTATAATTAAGTAATAGTAGCATAACAAAGCTGTATATAGTTATGTATAATACGATGGAATGTAAACATCACTGTGCCAATATTTACAGTTCAAATTATTATTTAATTAACACGAAGAAATAAGAATAGTGAATCCTATTTCAAACAAATATACGTTATTTTTCATAAGAGAGCAAATTTTTACTTTAATATTAATCAAAATCTTCAAAAAAATATATTATAATAAGATATGTTAGAAATATTCGAGTTTCACAGATCGACAAATGTTAAAAGAAATATTACAAGTAAAATCTTACACTGGTGAATCGTTCTAAAGAAAGGTCGATGATTTTTCCACTCGTGATTGTCAATCTTTTTTGCGATCTCAGAATAAGAAACAGTACAGTTCGACTTTCTTTGACTGGAAAATCGTACCAGAGAGAATCATACGCCGCACTTCCAATCATTTTGCTCTGAAAAAAAAAAATAAGAGATACATTCGATATGTCAGTGAATTAATGAAACTATCATTTTTTTTCTTGATGTTGACCTTGGCGCTTAGATGTTCACCGCAGAAACAGTATATAAATGCCTCGACGTTCATCGAGATGTAGAATAATACAGATTTTACCAAAATCGCTGCGGCATTGGGTGTGTCAAGCGACTAAAATTTCCGTACACGAATATAATAATAATTTAGTATGAGTCAACTACACATACATATATATGATAGTTTCATAGGTCTTAAATATTAATAATTATTACCATTTTTTTTTCCGACTGGATATGTAATATTCGCAACAATAGGTAACCGAATGTCATTTTAGACATATATTACTTACGGTGGCTATAATAAATCCTAAACAACATATAATGATCGTGTCTGATAAGAGCATCATCATTGCGATGTACGTGTAAAGCGTCTCGATGTTGTCTGCAAATACTATAATGCGCTGATGCTTTATAATCAACGATTTCATTGTAATTTCATCCATTGAATCCGCCGAATTTTTGGAAAAGATTTTTGTCAACCATTCTCGAAGAATGTCTATTTGACCGCAGATATGAAGTATCTAAGAGATTTATAGTTTTATAATCTCTCTCTCTCTCTCTCTCTCTCTCTCTCTCTCTCTCTCTCTCTCTCTCTCTCTCATCTCTCTCTCTCTCTCTCTCTCTCTCTCTCTCTCTCTCTCTCTCTCTCTCAAAAACATGAAAAATTATTTTTTTTAATTAACAAAATTTCAATTAACAAAATTTAAAAAATTATTTTTTAAAGACGTATCGAAGACAAATCTAATTTAACAAATTATTTTATATACTTGTAAGATGTTATTAAAACAAAATGTTTGTATGCATAATGATTACTCACGATTTTATCTAACATAAAATCTCTAATTAAAAAAATTAAAAGTGTATAATTTACCTTGTATTTAATTTTGAGTAGGCGCATCGCAATTCGAACTTACCAAAGTGACGAGAAGTGAGTTAATAATCGTAATACCGCAGGCGACTAAAAATAGGTGATAAAATTGAACCGTTTGAACAGTTGTGTATATAAAATCTGTACTAATGTTGAACGGAAATTCCATTTTCAGAATAAGTTCTCGCGCATACGGCTCTAATTTCTCGGGACTGTTTGCATTAGCGGCGAGTACGCCGACACTGTAGAAAGTTGCGGAGCCGATTTGCATGCCAACAATCCATCTCGAGGTGCGACGTGCAACATTCGCCATATCTGTCATTATGCGTGAGTTATAGCAATTCGAAGTATGAACTTGCCAATCCTCAGACATCATTTGCAATACATCAAAAAATATTCTATGGAAGGTGCACCCTTCGCGTTAATATCTGTTTCATGGTTGTTACAAAATTGAATTAATTTCAAAAATATATTTCACTAAAGTATCAGAAAAAACAATCATTTGTTAATATATACTCATGCGTATATTCGCAAATCTTAAACAAATAAATTAAATTAAATGAGAAATCAATTAATTATTATTCGATACAAAAAGGCTACGCAATTTGCGGGTTATATTTCTGTGTCTTGATAAATTATTATGCTACGTTTCGCGAACATTAGCATTTAAGGATGTATCAAGACACGAAGATGACCAGCTATCGGCGATAACATATTATAGCTTCTTTCAAGAAAACATGAATAATTTCGGTAAATGTTAATCATCATTAATAACGAGACGAGTAACAGGATTTACATATGTTATTTCGCAAGTACGTCCTACCGTTGATGGGTCCAAAGAATAACAAGTTTAATGTAAAGTAGAGAAGATGTCATTGCACTGCTCACTCCGTCCATGTACTCGGAAAAGTCGTCCATATGAATGTTCATTACTACGTATCCGTACTGAAAGACTTGGGCCGTGCTTAGCATGATGATCCAGTACAATCTGAACACTATATTGGACGGTACATACGGCCATACACCGTAAATGTGAAGACCGAATTTAACCAATCGACTAATCGTAGTCATCCCCATATTTCTCTTTGACGATGCAGAACAATCAATTGCGATACGTCGTCGAGTAACTGTATTCATACTAAATCTTATTCGCGGGTTGACAACCGAAGGCAACCCATGATTCATGTCATCGACCATTGACCAATCATAACTTATTCAATATTTCTATTACATTGTACAAAAAAAGAGGAAACAAACTGAAATTGTTATTTAATGAATATGTGGACGACATAGGGAGGATCCCCTTCTTCCAAACTTTCGATCATGATACGGCTATACACTCTTTTTAAAAATGTAATAGGCAAAGGAAAGGTGGAGCGCAGCTTCCAAGAACTGCTTGCTACGAGGTCGAAAAGTTTCGCTGTTGGGGATGTATAAACAGAGAAGGACGTAAATATATCTCCGAGGGTATATTTCTCCGGAACGAGCTTTGCGCGAAACTTATAGCTCGTGTTGCAAATAGTCGCAAATTGGAAGAAGCACGATGAAGACGGCAGTACATGCCAGAATGTCTGGCAAAGAAGTATAAAGTTTATCGGTTTTGAGTGATCCTGTTTTTACAGACAAAATGTACATATTATAAAATGTTATCTACTGTAATACTTCTTTCTCTTTCTATTTTACGTTACTTAGTTTAATTCTTTTTGATAAAATGGATATATAAATTTAAGATTATGTAGTAAAGAAGAAAAATTATGTAACAGAAAAAAAAAGAAAAAACCATTTTGATAAAACGCCAACGTCAGATACGAAATTGTGCACGACATCTATGAAAAGTAATTCAAGACTTGAAGATGTAAACTGAAAGTGCCAAGAGAAAGCGAAATTGCTAAAGATTTTCAGTACCGTCTTTTCATCGTAGCTGAACAAACAAAAAGCATTAGAAAAAAGGACTCTGGTTGACTTTATCTTAATGGTATCATGAAGGTATCCGTCAAAACAAGAAAAATATTTCATCGTAATTTACTATTATATTATCTTTTCCTTGTGCGACAGAAAGTGCAAATCGTAAGACGAAAATGGAACAATAATAATATTTAGAACAAATCTTATACATTTATTTTCATATTACTAAATTCTACTTTCTGCACACTATTATGTTTCATATTATTATTATATCAATACATTACCTATCTTCAATACATTGCCAATAGCACTGATATATACGACAACGATGCTTTTACTACCTGAAATATCATTGTTTGATTATATGCAAATGTACGAAATGTTAAAAATTAATCAATATAATAATATGAAGAGAAATATAATTAAATAATAATATAATAACGAATGGAAGCTATAGAAAGTGATTTGTGTAATATAATAAGATGTGAAATTATGTACATTGTTATGCTAATTGCAGTTAAAATTATTATTTAATTAATATGAAGCAATAAGAACAGTGAATTTTATTTCAATTCAATGTGTATTGTTACGATATAACGAAAGAACAAACACTCACTTCGATATTAACCAAATCTTTAAAAAATAATATTTGTATATACAGGGTGTTTGGAAAGAAATGATAAATCTTTCGCATAGGGTCAGAATGGATTAAACTAAGAAGAAAAGTCCTCTACCATTTTACGATTTTAGGAATAAGATAATAATTGTTAAAAATTGCCGAAAATTATTCTTTAATAATTTTTTACTTAAATACTATCAACTTTAGAGAAAAACGTCAAGAGACAAAAATTGTTTATTTTATTTTCATAGAACTCTAAGAATTTTTTCAGAATTTTTTATCAACTTTTAGGACTTCATTTTCTTATTTTTACTAATATAAGAAAATACGGTATTAAAAAATTCTGAAAAAATTCTCAAAACTTTATGAAAATAAACAATTTTTGTGTCTTATAGTTTTTCTAAAATTGATAGTAAAAAATTATTGAAGACCAATTTTCGGCAATTTTTAGCAATTAATATCTTATTGTTAAAATCATAAAATGATAGAGGACATTTTTTCTTAATTTAGTCCATTCTGCCCTTATGCAAAAGATTTATCATTACTTTTTCCAAACACTCTATATATATATCTATAAAGTCTGTAGGAGATATTCGAGTTTCGCATTATAAGACAGACACATACAAAAAAATTATCGCAAGTTAAATCTTACACTGGTAAATCGCTCCAAGGAAAGGTCGACGATTTTTCCGCTAGTGATCGTCAATCTTTTTTGTGATCTCAGAATAAGAAACAGTATAGTTCGACCTTCTTTGGCTGGAAAATCATACCAGAGAGAATTGTATATCGCATTTCCAATCATTTTGCTCTGAAAAAAGAAGAATATGAAATACATCCGAGATATTTATAAATTAATAAAACTACCATTTTACTCTTGATATTGACCTTGGCGCTCAGATATTCGCCACAGAAACAGTATATGAATGCCTCGAGGTTTATCGAGATGTAGAATAATACAGATTTCACCAAAATCGCTGCGGCATTCGGTGTGTCGAGCGACTAAAATTTCCATACTTATATACGAGCTTCTTAGTTGACAAGTGGCATAAGTCCAAAATTAGGAAAAATGCGTTTATTATAAAAATAGAAAGTATTAAGAATGTTTGTCTTATCTATCAATTTAATTTACTTGTATTTTATTTTTATGCTCATAAAAAATAAAAATCAATTTTACATCATAAATAAAGTGACCGTAAAAATATCTGGAATAGTGACTTAAGTTTTTTTAAAGTTTAAGTTATATATTTTAAATTACATGATCATAAATACTATTCTTTCAATTTATTTTCTTACAATAAAGCTAGATTCTGTTCTTAATTTTTTGTAAAATTATTACACAAAAGTCCACTTACAATTAGTATAATATTAAGGAAGGGGACTTATGCCACGTCAACTAAGAGGCTTATATATAGTAATTTAATATGTGCTAGTTGCATATACAAACACACATATACACACACACACATACGTATGATGATTTCAGACATCTTTAGTATTAATAATTATCAATAACTTATTGACTCGTTACACAATATTTGATATTGTAATAACGGAATATCACTTTGAACACATTACTTACGATGACGATAATAAATCCTACACAACATGTAATCATCGTGTCTGATAAGAGCATCATCAATGCAATATACGTATAAAGAGTCTCGATATTTTCTGCAAATACTATAATGCGCTGGTGCTTCATGATCAAAGATCGCATAGTAATTATGTTCATCGAATCCGAATTTTTGGAAAAAACTTTTGACAACCATTTTCGAAGAATGTCAATTTGACCACAAATGTGAAGTATCTAAGGTTTATTTTAAAAAATAATTTTTCATTTTCCTGATGAGGAGAGATCATAAAGCTATAAAGCTATAAAGCTATAAAGAGATCATAAAGCTATAAAGCTTATAATTTCCCTTTTTCAGGAAAATAAAAAAACATTTTAAAAAGTTATTTTTTTAAAAACATGAGAAAAAATACAATTTAGCAAATCATTTACTTATAAGATGTTACTAAAACGTAAGATACACGTATAATATATTACGTTTATATGTAATTTAATTTATTCGTTATCTTAATTAATATATGATCTGAATTAAAAAGATCAAGATGATTAAAATTTCTAATCACTTTCAATTTTACAAGTGTATCGTGCAATTTGAACTTACCAGAGTGACAAGAAGTGAGTTAATAATCGTAACGCCATAGGCGACTAAAAGCAGATGATAAATTTGAACAATTTGTACTGTCATGTAAATAAAATTTGTGCTAATATTGAACGGCAGCTCCATCTTCAGAACAAGCTCTCGCGCGTACGGCTCTAATCTTTCAGGATCGTTTGCATTAGCGGCGAATACACCGGCAACGTATAAAAATACAGCGACTACTTGCGTGCCGACGATCCATCTCGAGGTGCGATGTGCAACATTCGCCGTGTCTGTCATTATACGTGAACTATAGTGGTTTGAAGTGTAGTCTTGCCAATCCGTAGACATCATTTGCAATACATCGAAAAATACTCTACGGAAGATCAGTGCACCATTCGTGTTAATGTCTATTTCATTCAATTTTGATTAATTTCGAATTTGGTGCGAACATTTTATTAAAATATCAGAAAGAACAGACAAATCATAATATTATACGCACTCGTGTATATATGTATTCTCAAATTCTAATTAAAACGATTGAATAATATTAAGAATTGATTATTTGATATCTTTTTGCCGATAGTTTCGACAAATGCCGATAATGAAATGTAACATGATTTGCATATTTTTTACAAGCACGCCCTACCGTTGATGGGTCCAAAGAATAACGAGCTTAATATAAAGTAGAGTATATGTCATTGCGCAGCTCACTCCATCCATATACTGGGAAAAATCGTCCATATGAATGTTCATTATTACGAATCGGTATTGAAAGACTTGGGCCATGCTTAGCATTATGATCCAGAACGATCTAAACACCACAGTGGACGGTGCATATGGCCATATACCGTAACCGTAAAGACCAAACCTGACCAATCGACTGAGCGTGGCCATCCCCATATTTCTCGTGGGCAACAGATCAATCGCGTTACAGAATATCGCGTTGTAGAATAACTTTATTTATGCTAAAACTTGAACACGGGTAGACAGCCAAACGCGATCCATGTCGTCGACCATTAGCCAATGAAAACTTGTTTAATATTTCTGTTACATCGTACAAAAAAAGAAAGAAACAACTGCAACTATAATTTTAAAAATAATGAAGCGATTGCAACTGTAATTTTAGAAATATAGATGATAGAGGCAGTCCCTTTCTTTCCGAACTTTTGATTATAATGCAACTATACGTTCTCTTTAAAAATGCAACAGATAAAGAAAAGATGGAGCGCAGCTTCGACGAATTGTTTGCAGCGAGGTTGAAATGTTTTGCTGCTGGGGGGAAGAAAATGTAACATGGGGAATCGAGAGGGAGGAAAGCTAAGACGTATCGTAGGGATAGAAAGACCAGTGTAAAGATTACATTTGGCTCTATAGGTGGCTTGCAAGAGGGCTGGCGAGTAGTTGGACAACGGCGGTGCAAGCAGAAACATAACGGTTTATACAGAACGACGATACAGACAAAGAATAATGCAGTTTACCGGGAGATTTTTTCTTACAGCCAAGGTGAGTACTTCATAATAATATATTACTATCGTATATATTATTTGAGAATTATTACACTGCAGCTTTAACATAATAAGTTTGATTTCTTAGTTTTATTTAGTTGTGTTAAGTACCTTTCAAATCAATTTTCAGTTCTTAATACGAAAATGTTAGTAATTGATTAAATTTATTGTTTTTATCGTTTTTATATTAGCACGTTTATTTTGATCATCATTTTATTATCAGATTTGGTAAAGTACATCGATCTAAAATATCAACAACGTATTTATAGCTCTGCCTTTATGCACTGTAGGCTAAATAAAGCCATCGCGAAAGGATGCCTCGGGAAATCGATGCTTCAGTAACCCCGCTTGTCTACACGCGCACACTTGATGTAAAACTCCGCTTCTTTGAATAGGAAAATTGTTAATCGTGTAAACTGATGGTAGTAAAAGTACTATATCCTTGTGCACGCGAAGATATAAGCGACATGCAGTGTATTGAAGCTTCAATACATCGCGTATAACACTGACACGTACGACGCCGAAGCTTTCACCATCTGCAAAATGATATAAGCATTTTATTACTACGATTACAAACGTCATAGAAACTAAAGAACATTGTTAAGGTCTCAAAACATTCACACATTAATAGTTGCTTTATAAATATGGCTTTTTTTAATCACTTCTATTACATTACTAATTTCTTACGCTAGCGAACTGCTTGAGGGAAAGATCCATGACTTTTCCAACGGTGAGCGTCAAGTGTTTCTGTGATCTTATGATCAATATCAGAATATCTCGATTTTGATTCGGATTCAATTCGTACCAAAGCAATTCATACGCAGCATTGCCGATCTTTTGACTCTGAAATATATAATAAATGATTTTAGTAGTGTATTGTATCCACTTCGCTTTACATGAAATACTGACTTTTGTACTGAGATGCTCTCCGAGGAAACAAAATATGAATGCTTCCATGCTTATAACAATGTAAAAAAACACGGACTTTATTAGCATAGGCATTCCACCCGGGACGCCCATAGACTAAAAATTTTAAGTATCATGTATTTCAAAGTTATAAGTTAAATTATTTTACGTGTACTTACGATTACAATAAGAAATCCTAGAGAACACACAACCATAGTATTTGATACAAATTGTATTAGCGCGATATTTGAGAAAAATTCTTCGATATTGTTGGAAAAAGAGATAATCTTTTGATGCCGAATAATCAACATTTTCATAATCCTGTTGTTTACACCTCGCTTGATGTCCTTTTGCGTGATTTCACACAATTTTTGCCGCAAAATGTCAATTTGTCCGCACACATGAAGAACCTAAACGTCACAATATGCACACAGTGTCAGTTCAATTTAATGTTTCGCCCAGTGATAGCGTGTTTCCATTGCTTGAGTAACACAATTTTTTCAATATAAAACGAAAAAATTATTATTAACTCTTAAACACCACCGTGGATTACGCTAACCCTGTGTGGTTATTACGTTTCTTATTTCGAAATCAATTTGTAAGTAAATATACGAACAAGATCAAATTGAAATGCGAATTCAAATCGAAGAATTTATGAAACACACAGACATTCCAGAAAACCAAGATCCGCGTGATATATTAGCTGTAAACAAAATAGAAAAACAAAGATGTTCATTCTGTCCAGGGGCTTTAGATAGGAAAACTTATTACATATGCTTGCAGTGCCAACAGCCAATGTGTAGGTAACATGTCGCAAAAATTTGTTTCGCCTGTTCCACCCAAATCAATGAATAATTTCATCTGTATATTTAGATGACATATAATAAAAACTTTTGCACTAACTTTATCGTATTACTTGGTAAAATGACCCAAATTCAGCCTCGTAGAATAAATACATTTTTTAGAATAACTCGTAATAATGTATTTTTTTCTTAAAATACATCTTAATATGTTGCGATTTCTGTAAATTAAAACCTTGTATCATTTTTTTGAAAAATTATTAATTTATTTCAAAAACAATGATTTATTTTTAAATTGTGAAATTTCTTCCATTTTTTCAAATATATTGGTTTTTGTAAATCTTATGATATTCTTATCTATATATTCTTTTTCCTTACTGTCTGTTGTATCAATTAAAAAAAATAGAAGTTAAAATTGAAGCATTAAAACCCGAGATAAAAGCAAAAGAAGACTCCAGGGTTATCGTAACCCATGTATGGTGAAATCAGGTGGAGAAAATAGTGTGGTGTTCAAGGATTAAGATATTTATATATTTAATATATTCACTGTATTTTAGAATATTTTGGATAGGTTCAATTTTGAAATTTCTCTTCTCTACATGTCATATTATTTTTTCAAACATTCTTTTTTACGACTTTCAGAAACACCGACAAATTATAGGAAAAATTCAAACTTACTAATGTTATTAGCAAGGAATTCATCACGCCCACCATACTAGCTGCGCTTGTTTGATGAACATATTGTGTAACAAAGACAGCTATATGCATCGATGTGCTCTTAATCTCAAAAGGTAATTCCATTTTAAGGAGAAGTTCTCGAGTGTCAGTCTGATTATTACTTTTAAACCTCAACAAAGTACCGGTTGCATACAGGAACACCGAAAGCGCGTACAAAGCAATTATAAAGTTGGAGAATCGACGAGAGATGTACGCCATCCTCGTCATTGTGTATTCGTCGTAAACATCGCGCTCCTTCCAGTCAACAACTGTGTGTGCTATGATTTCGTTCAGCAGACTATAATGGAAAGACTATAAAGAAATATAATATTGACCGAGTTGTGTGTGCGCAAAAACGCGAAGATTTCTTTATTTCGCGAGATGTTAGATGGTTACAAATTAATAGCAAAAGTGATATAAATTCAAGATTCTTTCTTTCAACTTACAACCTGGAATCTAAAGAATATAATCCAAGATATATTTATTTTGCGAATCGTATTTATGACTCAGTGTCATGACGAAAAAACTTACCGAGCATTGAATGCAAAAATAATCAATTTGATTAGCAGAAGACTGTAAGCCATAGTTGCGCTTAATACGTCCATGAGGAGTAAGAGATCCTCTTCTCCGAAACGCAAGATCACGTACCAATATTGAAAAATCTGAAACACCGCCATTGAAGATATACAGAACATTCTGCGCAAGATTGCATATGACGTGCCCGGCCATACGCCGATCAGGCGAAGTCCGAACTTGATAGGACGACACACTATGTTCTCCGATTCTATACCGTTATTCATTGACTTCGAGCAAATTACAGTACAATAGCACCAACGTGTTATAACACTCTAAGTTAACGCGCTTTTCTTTTCCGTCTACCTTACAGTAAGATTATGATCAGAGAAAAGACATGAATTTGTTTAACGAATTATTTAAAATAAATGATGCGCACATAGCTTAAGCAGCATCGAAATTCTAACACGACGTTATATTTTATAATGTTATTGGTTAGAACATGGGCTCTAAAATTTCTAACTGCAGCATGCAGATCAATTATTTCAGCTTAGTTATAGTTAACAGCCATGATGTGATCGATCAAAAGGCCTCAGTGAAACTGTAAAATTCTATGAATTCAGTACTGAAGTAAACATCTCCCCTCCAGTTGTAAATCAATAGAAAATACACTTATCTTGTGTTTCCATCGTATTTTTCCGTATCTTCTTATATTAGAAACTGCGAGTAAATAATCCGACATTTCGATGATTACCACAGTTGTAAGAAAAAAAGAGAACAGCAGAGGGATAGCCATAAAGAACTTCTTTACACTCTCGTGTACACATTGATCGGTCGTTGTCCGTTATTTGCATTAAAAATGCAAAGCAAACATTTATCAACGTATCAGTCGACATTAACAAATTTCAGTCTCATGTGTCTCAACGTTATACTGTAATACAATCGAAATGTGAACACTACATCTGTCATGAAGGATTTTAAATGAGTTCTTTTTTTGCTGGAAGAAGTTGGAAAAATCTTACTAATATCAAACATGGTACGTCATAAAATAATTTTACTTGTAGTAAAATAAGATAATTTTATACTTATTTTGTAATAAATTATATATAGATGGTATAATAAAATTGCGATCAATATACATGTATTTATTTTTTAATAATAAACCAACCATTATTTTGTTTTGCGATTAATTAATTTATTATGTAATATAATATATATATAATATATATATGTATATATATATATATGTATAAAATAAAAGAAACAAAATTTAAAACAGTTTTCTTATAAATAATACCTTTTACATGCAAATTTATGTGTATATATATATATACATATGTATGTATATATACAGGGTGTCTCGAAAGTTTTTGTCAATCGCTTTTGGGTAGATAAAGCGGACTAAACTGAGTCGAAAAGTCCTTTACCATTTTGCAATTTTCGCAATAGTTAACAAGATAATAATTACTGAAAATTGTCAAATATTGGTTTTGAATAATTTTTTACTCAAACATTATCAACTTTACAAAAAAACTGCATGGGACAAAAATCATTTAGTTTCTTCTCATAGAACTCTAAGGATTTTTTCGTAATATTTAATCAACTATTTTTTTAGTGCTACATTTTTTTAATTTTACCCCCGCATGAAAAGATACAGTATTAAAAAATTCTGAAAAAATTCTGAAAAAGTTCTCGGAACTTTAGGAGAAAAAAATTAATGATTTTTGTCATACGCAGCTTTTCTATAAAGTTGATAGTATTTGAGAAAAAAATTATTCAAGACTAATATTTAACAATTTTTAGTAATTAATATCTTATTACTTTATAGTAGTATTAAATATAATTAAATTAAATATTCAAATAAATCCTTTTATTTTATTATTATTAGCTTTCAACAAGCACATTGGTCAAGAAGATCAATTTATATTGCGCTCATCATAAACCAAAATACAATAATTTAATATGCAAACCAATTCTCATCTACTCGTATACTTTTATATACATCTGATGTGAAACCCCATCAAGTCCCAGAATAGAAAAATCGCTAATCACATAACCAGTTGGCGATAGTAAAAATACTATATCCTTCTGCACGCGAAGATATAAGCGGAATATAAAGTATGTTTAGGCTTCAATATATCGCGTGTAACACCGACACATATGACGCCGAGGCTTTCATGATCTACAACATGATAAAAGCAATTACGGTCATCATACGCGAATACTTATCCCGTGATGAAGTGACAAGAGATCGTCACTCGCGGATATGTCAAAACATCAATCAACGTAAAATTCTATGTCATGAATACGCCTCCACTCAACTACTTTTATTACTTTACTAAATTCTTACATTAGGAAATCGTTTTAGCGAAAATTCAGCGACCTTTCCGATCGTTAGCGCCAAATATTTCTGTGATCTTACAATTATAAAGAGAATATCTCGATTCTGAATTGGATTCAATTCGTATCAAAGCGCTTCATACGCCGCGTCGCCAATCATTTTGCTCTAAAACAAGTAAATTTCATGATAAATCCTACGGAGCAGAGGACTAAAGTAATTGACACGAATTATGTTAGCGCTATGTTTGAGAAGAGAGTATCAATATTTTTGGAGAAGGAAATAATTTTTTGGTGCCGAATAATCAGTATTTTTGCGATATCGTTCATATGTTCCTTGGTATTCTTCCGTGTAATTTTACTCAGTTTCTGCCGCAATATATCAATCCGTCCACATGCATGAAGAACCTAAATGTTATAATCAAATTCTATTTAACATCAGGTATGTGCAATGAAAATACTATTTTTTGTTCTATATTCAATATTGAATGAATTTAATTTTTGGTTCTTATTATTTAGGAACATTCAAGTTTCTATATGTATGAAAATGTTAAATAATAAAATTTTAATGTATTAATTAATAATTATTGCGATCTTATTTTCTTTTCCTTAATATATCTATTATATATTTTTAAAAACTTAGTAAATGGAACAAATACTTCATTTATTAACCATTGTCTATAACTACTTATTTAAAAAAGAAATCATAAAACATTTATTTAATAATGTATTTTATGCAATAATAAATATATATTTAATATTGATATTGCGCTGCTCACTCCGACCATAACTGGGAAAAATCGTCCATATGAATGTTCATTACTACATATCGGTATTGAAAAACATGGACCATGCTTAGAATTATGATCCAGTACGATTTAAATACCAAAGTGGACGGTGAATATGGCCATATACCGTAACCGTGAAGACCAAACCTGACCAATCGACTGAGCGTGGCCATCCCCATATTTCTCATGGGCAATAGATCCATCGCGTTACAGAATATCGCGTTGTAGAATAACTTTATTTATGCTAAAACTTGATCAAGGCTAGACAGCCGAACGCGACCCGTGTCGTCGACCATTAGCGAATCAAAACTTGTTTAATATTTCTGTTATATCGTACAAAAAAAGAATGAAAAAACTGCAATTATAATTTTAAAAATAATGGAGCGATTGCAACTGTAATTTTAGAAATATTGATGATAGAGGCAGTCCCTTTCTTTCCGAACTTTTGATTATAATGCAACTATACGTTCTCTTTAAAAATGCCACAGATAAAGAAAAAATGGAGCGCAGCTTCGACGAATTGCTTGCAGCCAGGTTGAAATGCTTTGCTGCTGGCGGAAAGAAAACGTAACGTGGGGAATCGAGAGGGAGGAATCCTAAGACGTATCGTAGGGACAGATAGACCAGTGTAAAGATTACATTTGGCGCTATAGGTGGCTTGAAAGAGGGCTCGCGCTTGAGCAGTTGGACAATGGCAGTGCAAGCATGAACATAACGGTTTATACAGAACGACGATACAGACAAAGAATAATGCAGTTTACCGGGAGATTTTTTCTTACAGCCAAGGTGAGTACTTCATAATAATATATTACTAGAGTATATATTATTTCTACATTGCACCTTTAACATATATAAGTTTGATTTCCTATAGTTTTATTTAGTTGTATTGAGTACCTTTCAAATCAATTTTCAGTTCTTAATACGAAAATGTTAATAATTGATTAAATTAATTGTTTTTATCGTTTTTAAAGAAACGCGTTTATTTTGATCATTACTTTATCAGATTTGGTAAAGTACATCGATCTAAAATATCAACAATGTATTTATAGCTCTGCTTTTATGCACTGCAGGCTAAATAAAGCCATCGCGAACGGATGCCTCGGGTAATCAATGCTTCAGTAACCCCGCTTGTCTACACGCGCACACTTGATGTAAAACTCCGCTTCTTTGAATAGGAAAATTGTTAACCGTGTAAATTGATGGTAATAAAAGTACTATATCCTTTGCACGCGAAGATATAAGCGACATGCAGTGTATTGAAGCTTTAATACATCGCGTATAACACCGACACGTACGATGCCGAAGCTTTCACTATCTGTAAAATGATATAAGCATTTTATTACTACCATTGCAAACGTCATAGGAACAACGAAGCGACTAAAGAGCATTATTAAGATGTCAAAACATTCACACATTAACAGTTGCTTTATAAATATAGCTTTTCTTAATCACTTCTATTACATTACTAATTTCTTACGCTAGCGAACTGCTTGAGGGAAAGATCCATGACTTTTCCGATCGTGAGCGTCAAGTGTTTCTGCGATCTTATGATCAAAATCAGAATATGTCGATTTTGATTCGGATTCAATTCGTACCAAAGCATTTCATACGCAGCATCGCCGATCTTTTGGCTCTGAAATATATATAATGAATTTAGCGTATTGTATCTACTTCACTTTATATGACATACTGACTTTCGTACTGAGATGTTCTCCGAGGAAACAAAATATGAATGCTTCCATGCTTATAACAATGTAAAAAAACACGGACTTTATTAGCATAGGCATTCCACCCGGGACCCCCATAGACTAAAAATTTTAAATATCATATATTTCAAAGTTATAAGTTAGATTATTTTACGTATACTTACGATTACAATAAGAAATCCTAGAGAACATATAATCATGGTATTTGATACAAATTGTATTAGCGCAATATTTGAGAAAAGGTCTTCGATATTCTTGGAAATAGAGATAATCTTTTGATGCCGAATAATCAACATTTTCATAATCCTGTCGTTTACACCACGCTTGATGTCCTTTTGCGTGATTTCACACAATTTTTGCCGCAAAATGTCAATTTGTCCGCACACATGAAGAACCTAAACGTCACAATATGCACCCAGTGTCAGTTCAATTTAAGTTTTGCCCAGTGAAAGCGTGTTTTTATTGCTTCAGTAACACAATTGTTTTCAATATAAAACGAAAATGACTATTAAGGTATTTATATGTTATATATATTTACAATATTTTAGAATATTTTGTATAGGTTCAATTTTGAAAGTTCCTCTTCTCTACATGTCATATTATTCTTATCATTTATTCTTTTTTACGATTTTCAGAAACACCAACAAATTTTAGGAAAAGTCCAAACTTACTAATGTTATTAGTAAGGAATTGATCACGCCCACCATACTGGCTGTGCTTGTTTGATGAACATATTGTGTAACAAAGACAGCTATATGCATCGATGTGCTCTTGATTTCAAAAGGTAATTCCATTTTAAGGAGAAGTTCTCGAGTGTCAGTCTGATTATTACTTTTAAACCTCAACAAAGTACCGGTTGCATAAAGGAACACCGAAAGCGCGTACAAAGCAATTATGAAGTTGGAGAACCGACGAGAGATGTACGCCATCCTAGTCATCGTGTATTCGTCGTAAACATCGCGCTCCTTCCAATCAACAACTGTGTGTGCTATGATTTCGTTCAGCAGACTATAACGGAAAGACTATAAAGAAATATAATATTGACCGAGTTGTGTGTGCGCAAAAACGCGAAGATTTCTTTATTTCGCGAGATGTTGTTAGATGGTTACAAATTAATTGAAATAGTAATATAAATTCAAGATGCTTTCTTTCAACTTACATCCTTGAATCTAAAGAATATAATCCAAGATATATTTGTTTGGCAATCGTATTTATGACTCAGTGTCGTGACGAAGAAACTTACCGAGCATTGAATGCAAAAATAATCAATTTGATTAGTACGAGACTGTAAGCCACAGTTATGCTTAATACGTCCATGAGGAGTAAGAGATCCTCCTCTCCGATACGCAAGATCACGTACCAATACTGAAAAATCTGGAAAACCGCCATTGAAGATATACAGAACACTCTGCGCAAGATTGCATATGACGTGCCCGGCCATACGCCGATCAGGCGAAGTCCGAACTTGATAGGACGACACACTATATTCTCCGATTTTATACCGTTATTCATTGACTCCTAACAAATTAGTCTCACAGCACGATAGCACCAACGTGTTATAACACTCTAAATTAACTCAGTTTTCTTTTCCGTGTACCTTACAGTAAGATTATAATCATAGAAAAGACATGAATTTGTTTAACGAATTACTTGAAATTAATAATGAACGCATACAGCGCAAGCAGCATCGAAATTCTAACACGATGTTATATTTTACAATGTTATTAGTTAAAACATAATCCCTAAAATTTTTAATTGTAGCATGCAAATTAATTATTTCAGCTTAGTTATAGTTAACAGTCACGACGTGGTCAATCAAAAGGCCTCAGTGAAACTGTAAAATTCTATGAATTCAGTACTGAAGTAAACTTCTCCCCTCCAGGTGTAAATCAATAGAGAATACACTTATCTTGTGTTTCCATCGTATTTTTCCGTATCTTCTTATATTAGAAACTGCGGGTAAATAATCCGACATTTCGATGATTACCACAGTTGTAAGAAAGAAAAGAACAGGCAGAGAAGTAGGCATAAAAAACTTCTATACACCCTCGGGTACACATTGATCCGTCATTGTCCGTTATTTGCATTAAAAATGAATTGCAAACGTTTATCAACGTATCAGTCGACGTTAACAAATTTCAGTCTCATGTGGTTCAACATTATTATTTAATACAATCGAAATGTGAACACTATATCTATCATGAAGGATTTTAAGAGAGTTTTCTTTTTGCTGGGAGAGAAGTTGGAAAATTCTACTTAAATTAATCATGGTACGTCATAAAATAATTTACTATTATAAATTATACCTTTTATATGCAAATTTATGTATATATATATATATATACATATATATTTAAATATATTTATATATGTATAAAGTATTTAATTATTTTTAACACACACGTACACACACAGATTCTTCCAAGTATAATTCTTGACTTTGTAATTTAACTTTGTAATTTAAAGTAGTATTAAATTAAGGATGCAACTAATCGTTTTATTTTGTAATTATTGGCTTTGAAAAAGTACATCGGCTAAGAAGATCAACTTCATCACAAACCAAAATACAATACTTTAATATGCAAATCAATACTCATCTACTCGTCTACTTTTATATGCATCTGATGTGAAACCTTATCAAGTCTCTGAAATACTCTGAATAGAAAAATTGCTAATTACATAACCATTTGGCGGTAGTAAAAGTACTATATCCTTCTGCACGCGAAGATATAAGCGGAGCATAAAGTATGTTTAGGCTTCAATATATCGCGTGTAACACCGACATATATGACGCTGAGGCTTTCATGATCTACAACATGATAAAAGCAATTACGACCATTGTACGTGAATACTTATACCGTGATGAAGTGACTAGAGATCGTCACTCGCGGACATGTCAAAACATCAATCAACGTAAAATTCTATGCCACGAATACGCCTCTACTCAACTACTTTTATTACTTTATTAAATCCTTACATTAGCAAATTGTTTTAGCGAAAGTTCAGCGACCTTTCCGATCGTTAGCGTCAAATACTTTTGTGATCTTACAATTATAAAGAGAATATCTCGATTCTGAATCGGACTCAATTCGTACCAAAGCGCTTCATACGCCGCGTCGCCAATCATTTTGCTCTAAAATAAGTTTCATTGTAAAACATGTCATATATCCCATACATGTGTCACATCATTTACTGACTTTAGTACTGAGATATTCTCCAAGAAAGCAAACTATAAATGCCTCCAAATTGACTGGAATGTAAAAGAACACGGATTTTACTAGCATAGGCGATCCACCCGGAACACCAATAGACTAAAAATTTTAAATAACTTATGTTTTTTGAACAAGTTATGTTATTCTACATATACTTACGGTCACGATGACAAATCCTAGGGTACAGAGGACTAAAGTAATTGATACGAATTGTATTAACGCTATGTTTGAGAAGAGAGTCTCAATATTTTTGGAGAAGGAAATAATTTTTTGATGCCGAATAATCAGTATTTTTGCGATATCGTTTATATGTTGCTTGTTGTTCTTCCGTGTAATTTCACTCAGTTTCTGCCGCAATATATCAATCTGTCCACATGCATGAAGAACCTAAATATTGTAATCAAATTCAATTTAATATCAGGTATATGTGCAATAAAAATGCTTTTTTTGTTCTATATTCAATATTGAATGAATTTAATTTTTGATTCTTATTATTTAGCAATATTTAAGTTTCTATGTATGGAAAAGTTAAATAATAAAATTTTAATGTATTAATTAATAATTATTGTGTTTTTATTTTCTCTTCCTTAATATATCTATTACATATTTTTAATAACTTAATAAATGGAACAAATACTTTATTTAGTAACCATTTTATATAACTTATTTTTTAAACAAAATCATATTGCATTCTTTATTTAATAATGTATTAATAATTATATAATAATAAATCTGTTTAATTACTTTTAGGATCACTTAAGTCCTTAAATTATCTCTCTTCTTGGCGTTATTTTTCTTTATAATTTTAGAAAAATCATGAAAACATATTTAAACTTACCAATGTTAGCAGCAAGCAATTTAGCACAGCCAACATACTGGCAGCGCTTACCTGATGAACGAACTGCGTAATGAGAACGCTAAGATATACTGATGTGGTTTCGATCTCGAAAGGTAACTCCATCTTGAGAATGAGCTCTCGAGTATCAGTTTGATTGCTGTTTCTGTGCGCCAACAAAGTGCCAATCGCATAGAAGAATACCGATACTGCGTGCGAACAGATTATCAAATTGGAAAACCATCGAGAGACATAAGCCATTCTATTCATCGTGTATTCGTCAGAAACATCACGCTTTTTCCAATCCTCGACCACATGTGCTATCATATCGTCCAACAGACTATAATGAATTATTCAAAAAAATATTGACCGACATGAGATCGCAGTTATTTGCAAAATATTACTCCAGAAATATATAAATCAATGCAAATTTGCAAAATTTAAACAGATTAAAAATCAAACATCTTTTCTTTTTGCGATTAGCTTGAGATCTAAAATAGAGGATCTAAGTACTTATTTTGTGGTCGTACTGATTTTATACTTAACGTACACCGTAATGAAGAACCTTACCGAACGTTGAATATGATAATAATCAGTTTGACAAACACGAGACTATAAGTCAGAGTTGCGCTTATCACATCCATGAGTAAGAAAATATTGCTCTCGCCGAAGTGCATGATCAAGTACCAATATTGAAAGGTCTGAAATATTATCATCGAAAATATGCAACATACTCTGCGGAAAATTGCACACGATGTATCCGGCCATACACCGATCATGCGAAGACCGAACTCCACGGAGCGACATATGGTATTCGCTGATTTTATTTCAGTATTCATTGATATCAAATAAATTTGTTTTACGACACGATCATCAATGTGGTTTATCACTAACACTAATTTTCTTTTTTCCTCTGACTACATTATAAGTGAGTATATAATCCAGAAGAAAGTATCAATTTCTTAACATAACAGCAAATATAGTTCAAATAATAAGTACGACACAGCTTAAAATTTTTCACTAAAACTACAATACTAACAAAACGTTCGATTTGGAAGTTAACAGACGAAGATGCTTCTGTTTCTCAAGCACAACATAGTCAATAGTTTTAACTTGACTTCGTCTTTAGATATGATTACTCGAGAGGTTTCAGTAAAACTGTTAAAGTCTAACGCTAGAATGCTAGAATCTAATTCAGCATTCGAGTAACCCCCACCTTGGTTGTAGCCGACCAATGAAGGTTGTTCACATTCTATTTCTTTTTATCTCAGAAGTCACGAGGAAAAATTATAAGTCGATATTTCAATAATTGCGGTGGTTACAAAAAATTCAGGTAAAGACAACTGCAAAGTTTTCTATATACTCTTCTCTTCCCTCGGTTGCTGTACGTTATTTATATTAAAAATGTAAAGCAAATGTTCATCATCATGTACCGATACTAAGAGACTTGATCAACATCATCATCCAGCAAAATTTAAATAACACGATAGAGATGATATACCCGATCGAATAATGTGAACGTATTGACTGAATCGAATTAAAACTGTTTAGTTGTAACAAATGTTTCAAAGAGTATAATCAAAATACTTTTATCACAGATCAACAACTGAATGTAATTCTGTCTTATCAATTGATTAATATTTGTTAATTATAAACAGAAAATAGTGGGTACGTTCTGGTTTGCGCTTACAGGGCTTCTAAGTATAATTTCTCTTTTTAATATTAAAACTTGATAAATAACAAGGACGAACTGATGCTTACAACATGAGTATGAAAACGAAACGTACCCTATAAGTTATAGTTGAGTTCATCACATTGATAAACAGAAAAATATTGCTGGCCCGAATTGCATGATCAAGTACAAATATTAAAGGATTTGAAATATCAAAATATAGAAATATATATGTATATAAAATTAAATACATTAAATATATATTTATTTTGTACTGCGCAAAATCGCAATTATAATTGATGACAAACATATACAAGATCGTCCCCTTCGTCTACCGAATTAGCAATCACACTGCAACAAATGCACATTTTCCTTAAAAAAAATGCAGTGAGGTGAACAAGGTAACATAACTTCCAAGAACTGCTCACTGCGAAGTTGAAACATACTACTAGGGGAACATATCGGAGGGATTTGTAGGGAGGAAACAAAAACGTACCTTCGATGCGACGGAAAAACCAGAGAGAAGATTACATTTAGTATTATGGCTGATTCCGAGAAGGTACTGTAAGCTAGAGTATATAGCGGTTCTGCAAGCTGGAGCATGTAATGAAGAAAAAGACACCTCAACGCGAGTGATATCTTATAATGAAAATAAATTCATAATATTGTAACAACATTTTTTTTTTGAACAATAGTTTTTACATAACATCAGCTCATCTTTAACCAGCAGCTCAAGACTCTTAAACAAATAAATTTATATTAATTTATACTTATATTGCAAATAAAAACATATACAATATTATAAAAAAATACGTTAAATAAGTGTATATTTAATTCTTAATCACAAAACATTATTTTATTATGTAATTAATTTTATTTGAGAAAATTTAATACAGAGTAAAAAGGGTAACAGTTTTTGTAATATATCTTTACATGTATGCTTGCATTAACGTACTTTCATATCAATTTTATGAAAATATATATTAAGCATATATTTTTATATGTTTGAAATTATACATGGATATAGAAATAAATTATCAAAAAAATAAATATCTTTTAAATTTTATTCTAATTAGTATAAAACTTAGTATAAAAATTTGATCTTAATTAATATAAAAATCTTAATTTGATAATATTAAATTAAATTTCTGTTTAAAAAAATGCTTTTTTTTATTTTATCAGATCTGGCAAAGTACATCGATCGAGATAATCAATATTGTATTTATAGCTTTTTTCTTATGCACTCCAAATCAAGTGCAATTATCACCAATCGATGTTTCAGTAAATAATTTTCTTGTTCCTCTATTTGCGTACACTCGATGCGAAACTCCGTCGAGTCTCTGGATGGGAAATGACCAATCGTGTAAAAGTACTATAGAAATCTGCATGCAAAGATATAAGCGACGTACAAAGTATATTTAGACCTCAATACATTGCGTGCAACACCGACACGTATGACGCTGAAGCTTTAAGGATCTACAACATGAAGCTATTAGTTATCAGACAGGAATGTCACATTAGGACTCAACGATTAAAAAATGATTGTCAAAATATATTCGTGACTTTCTGCACAAAAATGTAGTTTTTTTATCATTTCCATTAACTTTACTAAATTCTTACGTTGGCAAATTGTCTCAAAGAAAGTTCCATAACTTTTCCTATCGTGAGCGTCAAGTTTTGTTGGGATCTTATGATCATAATGTAGATGTCTCGATTTTGACTAGGACTCAATTCATACCAAAACGATTCGTACGCCGAGTCGCCGATCATTTCACTCTAAAATATAGAATCATATATCTTTGTCATAGAGAATATCGTACCAAATGTCATATATTTGATGTAATATATTTTATACGGACTTTTGTACTCAGATGTTGTCCGACAAAGCAATATACAAATGCTTCTAAGCTCATAACAAAATAAAAGAACACTGACTTGACTAACATCATTGATCCGCCTGGGGTACCGATAGACTGAAATTTCATATATTACTTTATATTTTAAAGAAATTAATATTATTTTAATATACTTACGATCACGATAAGAAATCCTAGACAACAGATAACCAGAGTATTCGATACAAATTGTACCAGTGCAATATTAGAATAAAGATCCTCGATGTTTTTGGAGAAGGTGATAATTTCCTGATGTCGAACGATCAGATCTTTTACGACGTTTTCATTCACACCCTGCTCGATGTTCTTCAGTTCGACGTTCTTCTGCGTAATTGCACTCAATTTTTGCCGCATTATATCAATCTGCCCACACACGTGAAGAACCTAAATAAATGTCGCATCTAATGTAATGTTTCAATCTAGATTCAACGAACGCAAACAAACATAAAAGAACAGCTTGTCTCAATGAGTGTGAATTAATGACGATTGTGTTTATTTGCGTTCGTTTTCTCGATCTGAATAAAAATTAACATATAAAACCAAGATTTTAAAAATGTACTTTTATATAATTTTATTTCACAAACTATTATTTTTGTATAATTATATCTGTTTTTACTATATATATATATATATAAAATGTTTTAGCAATTTTTTGTCTCAGAATTACATCATAATTATTTTCAGTTCCAGGAATATAGACAAATCATGAACAAATACTCAAACTTACCAGTATTATTAACAAGGAATTTATTACGCCCACCATACCAGCCGCACTCGTCTGATGAATAAATTGAGTAACAAGGACAGCTACGTGTACTGATGTGCTCTCAATCTTAAAAGGTATCTCCATTTTGATGATCAACTCTCGAGTATCGGTTTGATTTTCATTTTTTATCTTCATTATTGTACCTATCGCGTAGAGGAAAACTGACGTCATATGCGAGCAAATTATAATGTTGGAGACCCAACGAGATACATAAGCTATTCTGGTCATCGTGTACTCATCCGAAATATCGCATTCCTTCCAATCTTTGATCATACATGTTATGATTTCGTTCAGCAGACTATAAAGGATTGTTTAAAGAATTGTGACCAATATGGTTGCATAAAAATACAGAGAAGTCTTTATTATGTCAATGTTATATATAAATTAACAATAAATTTATATAAATAAAAAATATTTTTTTAATCCGATTTATGACTTGAAAACTAAAATAGAAGATATGAGAAGTGTTTGTGAGTTACATTTAATTCTGTGATCGATATATATCGCTTTGAAAAAGCCTTACCGAGAATTAAATGCAAAAATAAGCATTTTGATAAGCAAAAGAGTATAAGCGAAAGTTACGCTTAGGGCGTCCATGAGGATCATTAAATCCTCCTCTTCAAAATGCACGATTACGTGTTGATACTGAAAGATTTGAAACACGATCATTGATGATATGCTGAGAACTTTAAGTAAAATTGCGCACGACGTGCCCGGCCATACACCTATCATACGAAGACCGTATTGCACAGACCAGCACACGATATTCGTCGAATCTATCTCGTTCTCCATCGAGCTCAAAGACATTTCTTCAAACGGATGATACGGTAAGTTATCACTAATTCCCTATCTACATTATAGGTAAGACTATAATGTAGAAGGCCTCTATTTACTAACTAAGATTATTTATCCCGAATTGAAATCAATTCAAATATTTTCCGCTGGAACTACAAGGAGATTGAAGAAACATTGAATTTCAGAGTGTCATAGATTGGAAGAAGAAATTTTCGACTTCGGCATAATACAAGTTCTAAGCCAATTGTCAGATATGGCCGAGCGAGAAGTCTCAGTGAAACTACTACTCATTGTCAGTAAAATTCTACACTCGATTGATTCCACCTTGACCGTGCACGAGACAGTAATTATTCATCGCTTATTTCATGTCATATATTTTTTTTCATCTTAGAAGTCACGAATAAAAATTATAGAATAATTCTTCAATAATTACAAAAAAAAAATGGGCATGCGTACCCACGAAAGCGTCTAACGTACCCCAGTACATACATCACTCAGTCACTGTCCGTTATTTGCATTAAAAATGCAAGACGAATGTACGTGCGCTGGACACACGTGAGTATCAGATGCGTGCGTAGAATACTTAAAACTTTTAAATACCAAGAAACGAAGAGCAGGAATTGTAAAAGGTAAATTCATAAAGATAAATCGAAAGCGAGGGTGAAAGTTTGCGATGATAAGGAAAAGATGTTGAGCGGCGCATAGAAACGTTTATCCATAAAAAACACAACGCTATTATTGAATCGAATGAGATATATTAATGTATTTTTACATAAGGGCATTCATGTTCGTGGAAAGCTAATGAGTTACTAGAATTCGCGAGTTATCGCGTTTCTTATAACACAATAGCTTTATAAATATACAAAAAGTATTGCCTTTTCTATACATAGTTTTCAAGACATAGCATGCAGCACGGATACATAAGACGCTGATGCCTTAATAATCTAGAAAAAAGAAGGTAGAACTCGTATTTTGTGTGGCAGCTAGTAAAACGCTATACTTTTATCGATACAACAAACACTATAAAAATTTAACAAAATAAACAAGACAAGAATATATTATCTTTTACATACAAAAATATATTGCCTCCTACTAATTTATAAGTTAAATTCAAAATTGACAACGTGTTTCCTTTGAAAGTACGTACAACCTACGTCAGGTATGGGAAAACGTAATTCTGAAAGCACATCTTACTGTTGTGAAACGTTCTAGGGAGAGCTCCATAAATTTTCCGATCGTAATAGTTAACTTTCTTTGTGATCTTAAAATTAGCAATAATAAAATACGACTCTGCGTGGGATTTAATTTGTACCACTTAGTTTCGTACGCTGCATTGCCGATCATTCTGCCCTGCAATTGAATGAGTGATTAAAGTTTTAGAATTGTGATAAAAAGTATATCGCTTAGGTACGACATTACTATTCTATATAATCTTCATTGATATATTTTTCGAAATACATTTTTTCAATAATGATTTAATTATTTAATATTAAAGAAAACATAATCTACATGACGGTAAAATTATACGCAGAAAGTTATAAGAAATTTGTAACTTACAAAAAATTACATACTCATAAATATATAAATATATAAAATTTGATTTATTATATATATACAATATTACAATATAAAAAAAAAATTATGTGCATATATTGATACACACAATTTTTTCTTATAATGACTATATACCAAGGCTTTGTTGCGCTATTTATTTATAATTATAAATAGAAAGAATTCGTAAAGATAATATTTATAACTGCATCGTTCTGACCTTGTCACTAAGATATTCTCCAGCATAACAAAATATGAATGCCTCCAAAGTGATGACAACGTAAAAAAAGAAGGATTTAATCAACATTGTCGATCCTTGTGTGTCGCCGATCGACTGTAACACATAATCGGAAATAATACCAAACATAAAACTTTCTGAATAGCGAGTAAAATAATAGTACTAAAATCCACACTTGAATGCTATTATTTATTTCGGATTTATTTTAAATACCTTTGTATGAGATATTCTGTTTTATTGCGTATTGATAAGCGGAATTTAAAATAAAAATGTTTCATGTAACGACAATAATTTAATGTTACTGCATATGTATTAATTGCATGTATATTTGACTTTATAAAGCTTCACTCACAGTCACAATTAGAAATCCGAGACAGCAGATGACCAAAGTGTTCCACAGGAATTGCATCAGAGCTATGTATGAAAAAAGAGTCTCGATGTCGGCTGAGAGCGCGATAATTCTTTGATGTCGACGTATTAGAGCTTTGATGGTCGAGGTTTGCAAGTCGAACGTATCGTCTGAAGAGATTTCTACCAACCCTCGGCACATTATATCGATTTGCCCACCTACGTGAAGAATCTAAAAATAACGGTCAACGCCCTGCAATATGTTCTCGATATTGCCACGATTCAGTGTAGAAAACAACTTGTGAATATATTCATCAATAAGGAAAGTAACAGCAGATAAGCAAAATCTATTATACATTAGAATTAAAATCTTATACTTAATAATTAATATTATATTAAGAATATAAAAATATACAATATAATATTAATTACAAATTTATTTTATTAAAGATATTTTATAAGCATTTTAATAAAAGAAATTATATATCGCTTTGGGCGATAACGTATTTAATTTATTACAAAAGAATAGAGGAATTAACGGCAAAAATATAGAGACATTTTAAATTCCATATTATCATTTATCGATCAGATTCATCAGAATCAGAACGCTTTTCATTTCGTATAAATAAAGTAAATGAAATAAGTTATTAATCACGCGGATAATACAGAATACTCGTTATCTCGAACAATGCGGCGCACAAGAGAAACCAATCGAAATTATTTTATTATTCTACTAACAATAAGCTACTTATATAAATTGCGCATCTCCATTACGTGATATAATTGTACATTTAGTGCAATATGTATCAATTTAATTGTAAATGCTTTAGAATTAGAATCTAATCTAAGCTGTGTTCCAAAATTTACTCCGAGTATTGAAAATCTATAGTTTACGTCACGTGCTCTATAAATTTTCAGTACTGGCAGTAAATTTTGGAACACAGCCCTACTTGTTCTATTTTTTTTAACAAGTATAAAATAAAAAAATTTTTCTTTTATATCTCTTCTTTTAAAAATGACTTAAAGCAACTCATAAAGTAACATTAATTAAATATTATTTTATTGCCAATGAGATTTGTACTGATCCAAAACTTAGACCTTATAACTTATCTTATTGTTTTCTTTGTCATCTTAGGTTATATTCACTTACCAGTGAGACAATTAAGGCATTAATTACACCGACTATTGTGGCTGCTGAGAGCTGATGGAAAAACTGCGTAATCATTACGAGCTCGTACGTAGGGGAGGCATTGGACTCGAAGGGTAACTCCATCTTAAGAAACAATTCTCGCGCCTGCACCGCAAGTTGCTCGTCGGACTCGTTAGGATAAGCAACGAGTACGCCAGTACCGTACATAAACACTGACATCGAATAAAGGCCAATGATCAAGTTGGAAGACCGATGCGACACATCGGTTGTCCTTGACATTGAGTAGATGGCCCACTCGGTCACGCACTCGCTTCGATCCTGGGACATCATCGCCAGGATGTCGTGGAATGTCCTGTGGGAAACTTGGGGACTTGCCTTTCGAGCTCGCTTATGATTATAAAAGAATGTAACAATCTTTCACTTTCTTTACATACTTTAAATCATATTGCATGTACAACGATTAAATATTATACAACTGCAAAAATCTGTCTTTATTTGATCTCTTTGGCATATTTTGTATACAGAACTAATTAATTTTATTAAAAAAAAAATACCAAATAAATTTGAACTCGATTCTCAAATGCATAGAAAGATTGCGTTCGTTTCGCGACTTAGATAAGCGAAGCTCACCGTCGATTGATCCAAAATATCGTAAGTTTCAATAGTAGGAGGCTATAGGACATCGTAGTGCTAAGACCATCCATCAGATGCGAAAGATCGTCCGTGCGAACGTGTATAACGAAATATCGATACTGAAAGGTCTGTGCCAACGTAAAAGTGATCATCCAAAAGGCGCGACGGAGGACCGTGAAGGACGAATTGGGCCAAACGCCGATCACGCGAAGACCGATCTCGATTGAACGACTAACAGTGCCGTCGAGGATCTTCAAGGAATCAGTCTTCGAGTTCATTTTCGGAGTGCTGCCTTTGAATGGTATTTTCGACCGGGATACCTCCTTACATCGGTACCACCTTAAAACTTCGCTATTTCGTAGAAAATCCAACCATGTACTTCTCGTAGCGATGTGAACACATGGATGAGCATGGAGGATGAACGCGGAAGAACACGGGAGAATCGCTGCGCACTACCAATCCCCCACCTCGACGTCGACATAAACCAATAGAAAGTACCGATAAGATATTCCCATCGCGACGGAAAAATTGCTAGATAAGGTCGGTTGCAACAGTCAGGTAAGATAAGTGCGGGTATAGATAACGAGGGGGAAAAAATGAATAAGGGTTGCAGAGAGAGAGAGTGCATTGTCTCCGGAATTACCCTGAACCTTAAAAATTCAGGAACCGTGTGCGATCGGGCGCAAGACTCTAGGGAGATCGTGCAGAATAATGGTCGGTTAGATCAAGAAGCTTTAAATCGCTAAAATGTAGAAAACGACCACGAGCGGCATGGTAAGGAAAATTACATAAATTGCTACGTCCGGATTGGATGTCCATACCGAGGGGAAAAAATAATTATTCGCACGAGGTATACTTACTGCTCCTACGAGCTGTAGTATACAGACGACAGTGAATGAACAGAGATGAAATTAGAACCTTTGTATACAAATTTAAAATATCAAAATTTAAATCATTTATGATATTTTTAAATGTAAGAAATATGAACGTATAAAATTAGCAAAACTTGGATTCTCTCATCGCGATGTGAAGTAAGAATGTAAATAATTTAAAATATAAAGAGAAAATAAATAGTGTTGAAAATGTTTTTTACACATTTTAAGAATCGAAAAGAGATCTCTGAAGAGATTTATTACTATTTCTTTATCAAAAAGATTAATTTTTATTTAGTTATTTGTTTATTTTTATTAGTTGGCTGTGTTATTCTTTATTTATTTATTTCTACATTTTTTATAAATTATATTTTCTTTTCTGTATATTTATTGTAGAACAGACTCCTTTTTAGCTATACGTAATTCTATACTTGCTATGGAAAGATAGAAAGAAAAATAGAAATAAAAAAGTAATCGTATCATCGAATTATATCTTAAGGCTTATCCTTACTGAAGCCGATCATATCGATTGACATATTGATTTCTTCTTCTTTTCTATGATAAGTATAAAAGAATAAGCCAGTAAAAGGCTTTGAAGTTTTAAAGAATCACAAGAAGAATAACACAGGAGAACTATAAGAAAAACTACAGTGCGACAAGATGAAGAAAATCATTTGATTGATAGCTGCAAATTCTTTCAGTGCTGCTGCAACAGATCTGCGTAATGGTAATTTTCCAATTTTTGAAAACACAGTAAGACGTCGATTAAAAACTGCTAAAATTCGTTCATATATATTCGTAAAGATAATTGCATTCACAAAGGCTTATCGAAACAAAAAAAAAATCGAATTTGCTATGCAACATTATACTTTACAAGAAGTATATTTAAGAAGTTAAACGTTATAATATCATGGGTAGAGACGAAAAAGTATTTTCTTCAGCAGAAAATAAACGATATAGAATGCGTTCCACATAACACTCGCAACGCTCGCAGGTATCGTTTGTCCCCTTGTTTAACATTTGATAAACAACAAGGATGGAATGATTCCATGAGTGTTTTGAGCGTTAAATGGAGAATATATTCTCAACAGCGTTAAAATGAAGCGTTTAAATAGAGAACATATTCTAAATCCAAAATATGAGATTTTCTCTAGATACAATGGAAGAATTTTATTAAGATTTTGAGAAAGCACATCCATCAGATTAACAAATATTGTAAGAACCATTACATATAAATATTGAAGAATATGTGGAAATGAAAAAAAATATATGAAAAGAAATATTGAAGATTGAGTTATACAAGACAAATATATCTCTTGGAACAATATCCGATTGTTCAAGACAAAAGTTCTGTGCATTCCTCAAGTTTAATTTGAGAATGATTTCATGCCGATTTTGAATTAATATATTGACCGGTAAAATTTCTTGATTTAAATTCGATTGAAAATGGCCACATATTCTTGATCGACTCTTAAACATTAAAATTAAAATTTGCCTAATTTAAAGATTTCTCAAATGTACAGCTAATATACATATAGATGTTAATGTATTATACATATTAAACGCATGATCCGTTTTACCATGTATTTATACACAATGAGTAAATATTTAGTTAAAAAGCTACATTTTTTAATATTTACCAGTATTTAATCCAAAAATCATCTTTCTGGAATATTTGTTGCATGCGTCTTAACACATTAAATTTACTTATTCGATGATAATTATTTTATACTTGATACATGATTCTTCAATGCTTCTTTAATTCGTAGCGCATCAGTTATTCAGAATGTTTTCATCTTACTTCACACATACTTTATCAGATTTAATTTAGGAGGTTTTGTAGCTTTCGAGTAAATATGTTTTTAATTATTGCCGAGCATCAATATTATTTTAGAACTGTAGTAAATAGATATCGTATGTTGATGTTAATATATCAAGATAGATGATATATAATGCCGACACCTTCAAAATCTGAAAAATAAAAGTTAAAAAATTAAGTTAAAGCTATAAATTATATTTATGTAATTTATGTAATTTTTATTTAACTTTTAATTTTAAAGTTAAATGATTAATTGATAAACATTATGTAATTTTAAAGATCTTTTATTATAATAAATGTGTTGAAATCACGTTACAATGTACCGAATAAAAATATTTTTACTGTAAAGACAAATCTTATTCAATAAATTAATTATTTTATATAATATTTTATGCATTAAAATATTAAAATATTTTAATATAGAAAATTTTATAGGTTTTCATTATAACAACATAACTGTGTGTGATTAAAAATTTGTAAACATACAATTAATACATTAAACTTTTGTCTTCGAGTTAAAATAAATTCTAATTTAATCATTACGAAATAACAATAAATAGTTTCTACACTAAACTCAATTTTGTTATAAATAAAATAATTCAATAATTTATTGAGAGAAAAATGAATACATATGGTATCAGTTATCATGCATGCGTATAGTAATTGTAATGATAAATCTTAGACAGTAAATAATTAATATATTCTAAACAATTTTTTCAATAGAATGACAAAGAAGAATTTTTCGATATTCTCACAAAATAAAATAATTCTGTTATGTCTTTCCATCAGTGTTTCAAATAAAGACACTGGATTCATGAAGGAGGATAACATTAGAAATATTTCTAAACACATGTACACACACATTATGAATTTGTCTGTAACGTGTAGCACTTTAAATACACTTAAATCTTTAGAAAAATAATAATTATTGTATATGAAGAAGTTATACTCGCTATTGAAGAAATATACCAAGAAGATTTGTTAAAAAAAGAAACAAAAAAAACGTACCTTGGGAATTCGATGATGAAAATGCCAATTGCACAGTTACTGTGGGTAGTTCCGAGAAGATATTGCAGATTACAAGGAAAAAGGCAGCTCGGCGGAATATTTTCTTGTAATAAAGATAAGTACTTCATAATACTGTAACACTATTTTTGTAAAATAATTTCCACGCTATATCTTTAATCATTAGTAGATACAAAAATTTTAAACAAACAAATTTCGATCTATACTAATAGTCCCATAAAAACTGCATGTATAGGAAATATAATAAAAGTATTGTTAATAAGTATATATATCTAATTTTTAGTTATAAAATATTATTTTATTACACAATTAGCTTTATTTAAGAAAACAATAATAATTACAAAACAAATTCTCAAATTTTTAACAACATGCAAATAAATAAAAGTAAGCTAATGAGAGTCAGCGCAGATTAACGGCGCAAATTCTTGTGAAATAATTTAATACTCAGTAGTTGGAATAATGTCTTCTTTATTTGAACGTTTTCACTCTTTTTGGAGTCTTCCTCAACAATGTAGATATAAAAGTATTAATAGCTCACATGTCCATAATGATTAAGTCACTCACAAATTGACAAAGATGAAGCGTATATTGTAAATAAAACTATAATGTAGAAAGCCTCGATTTACTAACTTCGGATTATTTAACTCGTATAGAGATTGGTTCAATTCAAATACTTTTCGCTAAAACAATAACGAGATTTAAAAAACTTTGAATTTCAGATCGTCATAGATTGGAAGAAGAAATTTCCGATTGCGGCATGATCGAAATCTTAAGTCACTTCTGGGATGTGTTCGATTGAGAAATCTCAGTGAAACTGCAAAATTCTAAAAATTCAGCACACAGCTCGACTGTGTAAAAGATAGTAATTATTTTTTGCTTATTTTTTATGTTTCATTTTTCATTGTTAGAAGTCATAAAAGCTCTAAAACGATCGATGCTTTCATAATTACAAAAAAAATGTGGCAAACACAGCCACGGAAACGTTCAGTATACCTTCGTATATGCAGTCGTTCATTATTTGCGTTAAAAATGCAAGAAAAGTGTATGTGTGCTGAACATACGCGTGAGTATCAAATGTGTAGAATACTTAATATTATTAAATATATTGAGAAGAAATAGAAAGCAGCAACTGTGGAAGATAAATTCGTAAGGGTAAATTGAAAGCGAGGCTAAAAGTTTGCGATGATATAAGAGAAGGATATTGAATAGTGCACAGACACATTTATCTTTAAAAAGTACAATAACATTATTATTGAATGAGATACATCGATGTACTTTTATATGAAAACAGATATTGTTAGTCAAATGAAATATTTAAAAGACTAGTTTTTAAAGATTAATAATTTATATTATAAATAAGAAAAATTACGAAATGTGAACATATTGTTTCTATGTTCTAAATTGTTTTGCTTAAAGGCTATATTATCTAAAAAGTATTTACTAGTATTATCTAAAAAGTATTATATAAACTAATTTATAATTTTATCTTTTATTTAGATAATTTTAAAATAAAATCACTTTTATCTTATCTTAGATATGTAATTTATGTGCAATTTATCTTATCTTCATCTAGATAATTTTTAGTTATCTAAACGTAACGCTATATATATATGAAAATTTATACGTGAGAAGAGAACCTTAATGTCGACGGGTATAGATAGATGAAAGAAAAAAAGCGAGCAGGGAAAGCGGACATAGTACATTGTCTCTGGGATTACTCGAACCTTATAAATTCAGGAACCGTGTGCGAGGGGTACGAGGAAAGTTAAATTGCTACGTTGGGATTGAACACACATGCCGAGGGAAAAAATAATTATTCGCAGCGGTACACCTATTGTTACTATGAGCAAGTAAGTACACAGATCACAGTAAGTGAACAACATGAATGAAAAAACAAAACTGGAGTCTTTGCATGCAATTTACGTTTTATCGAAATTTAAAATATACACAATTTTCTGAAGTGTAATAAATATAAACGTCTAAAACTTAATGAAGCTTGAACTCCATTGTCGATATGAAGTAAGAATGTGAATAATTTATTAAAATATAGAGAGAAAATTAATAATATTAAAAATGCTTTTTACATATTTTTAAAGTCCTAAAAATTTTGGAAGCAATTTATTACGATTATATTGTTCAAAAAATTTATTTTTATTTAGTCAGTTATTTCTTATTATTAGTTGCGTTATTTTTACTTATATTGTTTTGTAGTTATGTTATTTTTATTAATTGATTTATTCTAAATTTTTTATATATTATATTCACTTTTCCGTATATTTAATAAAACAGATTTCGTTTCAACTATATGTAATGCTACACTTGCTATTGTCCAATACGCCGGTAATCACGATGGATACACTTGGCACAAGTAATTGTTATCCACTAGCCTCTTTTAATACATCGCATACAATACTGACATATACGAAGCTGATGCTTTCATTACCTGTAGTTGAAGAGAAATGATAAATTTCGTTCGCGTAATAAATCAGATATTATTTTCTATCTTATCTTAAGAAACATCAAATTTGACGTTTTATCTCGTTATATATTCGCAATTTAAAATTCTCACACTCGTAAATCCTTCTAAAGAAAGATCCATAACATTTCCAGCTGTTATCGTCAATCTCTTCTGCGACCTTAATATCACAAATAAAAAAATCCGACACTCGGCAGGTGTCATGTTATACCATAGCACCTCGTAGACTGCATCGCCAATCGACTTGCTCTAAAAAAGAGAATGGTATACAAATTTTTTAAAATAGTCTATCAATTTATCAGGGCACGTTACAGAATTATTCGAAATGAATTCTGATCGGAGTTATTTTCTCTAGAAAACACAACAAAAATTTATGGAATAATTAAATAATTCCGATCAGAGAATCTATTTCAAATAATTCCATAATGTACCCTGAATTTAATTTCAAGTCTGACCTATATTTTTTGAACATTCAAGAAACACATATACGTAAATACATATTAAATTGATCAAGCTTGATAAATTGTTCTACAGAAGAAGGGAAAAAGTTTGAAAATTGATTACCAGTGGCCCAAAAGAATAAAATAGAATATTACACATACATATAAGATAAAATACTGTGCAAACCTTGGCGCTGAGGTATTCTCCCGTGAAACAAAAGATAAAAGCTTCTAACGTTACGGCGACGTAAAAAATAGCGGATTTCAAAATCACCACTGTGGCTCCATCCCTAACAAGAGACTAGAAAAAGATTGCAAAGAGCTCGAAAGATATTTAATGTAAAATTACAAAATAATGCCATAAATTTTATTAATTAACGATGCAACTTACGGCTATGATGGTAAAACCGATGCAGCAGATGACCACGGTATTCGATAAAAACTGCATCAGCGCAATGTCGGAATAAAGCTCCTCGATATTATCTGAAAGGGTTATTATCTTTTGGTGCCGGATAATCACAAGCCTGACACTTGTGACGATTGAATCACGCTGAGAAATTCCGTTGCCGCGAATTGCCAGTAACTCCCGGCGAAGAATATCGATCTGTCCGCTCACGTGAAGTACCTAAATGTGACTATTAATAGATTCCACAAAACGAACTCCCGCAAATCAATAATCTTTTTCAAAGTATTTAAATTTTAAATGCAAAATCAGGGAAGACAAAAATCAATCTTAATTATACGTTTTAATTAATGCTCGCAGGAGCATAAACAAAACGAAAAAGAAGAGATAGAGAAGAAAGCGAGGTTAATAAATCTTAAAAATAAAGAAATTAATTAAAAGAAATAATTAATTAAGGAAATAATTTTATTTTTGTGGATCTTGAAGATGAATAATCCTATGCAAATTTTTTGCAAATAAATTTTTCAGTTTTATACACTGCGCGTCGATTCGGATTGTCCGACTTGAAACGCAATTATAAACTATAATATTAATATCTCAAATTACATTGACTGTTAATTTAATAATGATGATAGTAAATAAGCCTCTTAAAAATTTGCAAAGATTTTTTTTTCTCATAGGTTTAATTTCCAATTATAAATCTTAAAAAGCTACTAATCATTCACGTGTTAATCGATTAAATTAAACTCACCAGCGTAATGATCAAGCAATTTATCATACCAACTAAAGTGGCGATTGACACTACATGAAGAATCTGACCGACCGCTAAAAGTTCAAAGAGGGGAGACACGTCAACTTTGAAGGGAAATTTCATCTTTACAGGCAGCACTCTCGAACTAATGTTCAGATCCTCCTTAAAGTCGGTCGAGAGACGTAGAAAATTGGTCATGGAGTAGCAAATTGCGGCTGCAGCGTTAATGCTGATCAACACGTTCGAACAACGACGTGACAAATTGGCATTACTCGCCATAATACACGATACCGATTTGTCGTAAATGTTGACGTTACTCCAATCTTCTTCCATCGCTAACACGATATCATAAAAAAGCCTGTAGAAAATCGCTTGCGTATTTTGCATCGAATAATCATTCTTGTTGTTTACATCAAGGAACTTGTTCCTACCTGCGGTTCAACCAGAGAGAGATCAACTTTAGAAAACCGAGACTATAAGCCAACGTAATGCTAAGCGCATCGACAAGATTCGAGATATTGTTGACGTCGAAGTGATCGAAGATGTACACATACTGAAAGTACAGCGCAAACACTAAGCTCATCATGTACGCGAACCAAGTGATGGTTCCGTACTGCAAACCCGGCCAGATTCCGACAAAGCGGAGTCCTATCTCGACGGAAGTGCTGATGGAAGTTGCGCGCATTATCTCGCATGGGATCGGACCACGTCGACGTTTTCTCGTCAAAGGCAAAACGATTATCGTGCGAACATCACTACTCGGAAATTAAGCATTGAGTTTCAACGAGCTATAACTCCAGTTGCTATGCCAGGTAACAATATGTTGCCCCTTCGTCGATCGTTATCAATCAATTGCAATTACGCGCGCTCTTACCGTTCCTGATACGACAAAAAAGAAACGTACGTTACATTTTTACGATAATTATGGGTTATTACAAAGAAGAAAAAGCATAATTCGAAGCTACGTATTGAAAGTTACAAGGAGGGGGACGTAAGTTATTCATTTAACAAAAAAAAATGAGAGATCCGTTGAGCACATGTGAACAATGCCAGACGCGTTGAAAGACTTGAGAAATACAAAAGCAAAGAAAAGGGTCGAGTATTGTTAAAAGGAGACTTGAGAGAAGTCTCTAAGTCGTTCATTGTTGTTTTATAAACAAAAATAATACGGATTTATCATATGATCATGTTCACATACTGCTTAGAAAAGATCAGAGGAGATAATCTACCGAGTAATCTACTGTACATATCAAAATATGAATGTCAACATATGTAACATGCTATAATACTTGCAAAAGTTTATCAAAAAAAAGGATTATATATGTATAAACTAAAAATATTATAAATAAATGGACAAACATCTTACTTTTTAATATATTGCAATAATATCGTTTACGTTTAACCCGTATTCGTAATTTCCTCTTCGCTAATATTGGAAGCACGTTAACGTTACTTGATAGTACCTAACTAATTATTGCAGAAAATAAGTTTTACGTATTATACAAAAAATAATATATTATTTTTTGTGTATATTATTGAGTTATTTTTTGTATATATATATATACTTATATTTTATGATATTTTTTTTACTGTGTGATAACTATAATTATTACACATATTTTAAGAAGTAATCTTTACGCATGCGATCCGCGATGTCGCGATTTTCTGTGCCTTCTTATTAGTTTCATCAAATCGACGAGCAAATATATAATCACTAATATCCGTATACAAATTCATAATTTCTCCATGCATCGCATACAGCGATATACACAACGCAGAAGCTTTTATAACTTGTATACGAAGAGACACTTTTCATTGTAAGTATCATATCGAATGTGTGCATAGTTACGAAGGCTGCTGAATCGTTTGCATTATAAATTGTTTGCACAGTCAGCTTTGATATTCACCCGAGACGCGTTTAATATCCATGAGCAACATTTCGTATGTATGAGAATAGATCTTATGCCAGTGAATCTCTCCAGAGGAAGATCTATCACTTTTCATCAATCTCTTTTGCTACCTCACAATCACAAACAGAAAAATCCGACTTTGACTGGGCGTTATGTTATACCAGACGGACTTGTATACAGCATCTGCAATCAATTTATTATTGTAAAAGAGAACCAAATGAGTTCTACAAATGTGGAGCAAGAGCAAATACTGTTTTTTCCGAAAAAAATTGTGTTTTATATAGATACGTTTATGTAACAGCAATTTAATTTATAAAATTAAAAGCTTACAAAACTGTTAACGCAGCAATTTATCAATTAGAAATAAAATCGATTCGATAAAATATATATAATAGTTTGTAATAACACATACACTTATAACCTTTGCATTAAGATACTTCCCAACGGAAACATAAAACAAACATTTTGATGTAAAATAAAATAATTTTCATTATTTGTAATATCATTGCTTTTTAATTGTTATTAGTAACCTATGAGAGTATAAATAAATAATACAAATCGATTATACAATAGCAAAGCATTAATATTTCATAAAACTATAAATTACTTAATATTTTGGCTAACTATTTTAATTTAAAAATAAATAAAAGTTAATAATTTTTATTAAGTTTGTTATTATTATTATGCGGAAATACAATCATTATGTAGTGATTATTTATAAATTAAAAGAAAAACTCACATAAGCCGACACTAGATAGTTGTGTGTAAAAAGTATGTACATTAATAAAATAAACCCGAGAAAAAATGTTATATATATGGACATATTTTATATATAATTATATATAATTGTATATAAAATATGTCAATTTTACATATAATTATATATAATTTTAAATAATTTTGTATAATTATATATAATTATATATGAAACATTTTTTCCCGAGAAGTTATAGACGTTTTGACTCTTGATTTTTGAGTTTTCTTCAGTATAGTACTGACAAGTTAATAAATAATACCCATTTCGCTTTACAATAAACTAATAAAATTGCCAAAATCATAAACACGAAATATTGTCAAACTAGAAAACATCGATAATACATATAACGAGTAATATATATTATAACGATTATTACATAACGATTGTATCTCTACATAATAATAATGACAAACTCAAAAAAATTGTAACTTTTATTTATTTAATTAAAATAATTACTCAAAATTTGTAATTATTGTAAAATAAATTTTATCATAATAATCATGAATTATGAGATATCAATAACCAAATGATTAAACATGAACTGCATCAGCATCAATTTTGATAGGACAAGCATGAGATATTTTAAGCATGAGAATCTCTGGTAAAAGCGGAAAGCTCTGATAGCTTTCTTTGGAAAGATTTGAATCAAAATTTATATTATATTAATTTGACTGTTTAGATGAAGAATCTATAAATACTGGATTAAAGTAATCCATTTTTAACACAGAAATTTAGAAAACAATCTTTAATTGCAACGTAAAAAAACTGATTGAAACTCTCCCATATAATAACCAGAGAATTGATCATTAAAACCAAAGAAGAGAAGGTGATGAAACTCCTGGATCTTGCCATAATCTCAAAGATGGAGGTTCATTAACCTTGAAAAGTAATTTCATTTTGAGGAGAAGATCGAATTTGCTCTCGTGAGGATCATTTTCATCCTTCGCGAAGCGAATCAGACTTTCGATAGCGTAGAAAGCAGCAGCTAAAGTGTTGATGAGCTTTAAAATGTTTATTAAAGCAGATATGTAACAGATTGGCATAAATTATAAGCATATATACGAGCATTAGAAGCATGCATTTGAGACTTGGTAGGTAATGTACTTTCTCCAATCCTTGTTCATTATTGCTAAAATCTCGATTGAAAAGTTCTACGCGATATCAAAAAAATATTTGATGTAGTGAGAAAGACACAACATACGCAACGTAAGCACACAGCAGTATAAAACGAAAGTGTCTAAATAAAAAGTCTGGAAAATAAATTGTGCGAATGTTTTGTAACATCTTTTATATATTTACGAACAGTTTGAGAAAGAATTCTTATTGCTAGGTTGAATAAACATCAAATTTGAAGTACAAAAGAACATTAAAATATAAACGTTGTAGAAAAGATGAATATTTTATAATGAATAAAATCTTTGTCGTCAGAGAGAGAGAGAGAGAGAGAGAGAGAGAGAACGATTTAAAATATAAAGAATCAAACGGAAAAGAAATTATGATCATAATGTTCTATTTCTCTTAATTTATTTGACATAATTAATTTTATGGGAGGCATAATTTAAAGATAATGAAATAATTTTGAAACAAATAATATTGTTACATCGCACGATATTTTGTTAGATCGAAGAAAGACAACGTGTCTTTCTAAATCATTCTTTTTATTAGTCTTATTATAAGCTTATTGGCGATTCAGACTGATCAACTTCAAAAAGTTATGCGATTAAAATTATGCTCAAAGTGTTTATGAGAATTAAAAAATTATTTATCTTGAAGATATAAGTACATAAAGACGTTTTATCATAATAACTAACATCATGAAAATAAAAGAATCGTTGAAAATTGCATTGCAAAAAGCAACGAGTCACGTGCCAATAAATTGAAATCCCATTTCGATAAAAACATGTTTGTCATGCGTATTATAATTAATCTTATGAAATTGTGATAACTTCTACAATACATACTTTCCTAAATTATTGCCTGCCACCGATATGAGTAAACGATACGTGTTTTGCATGAAACTTGTACGACGATTGATCCATTGTACATCGCGTGATGACAATAAGAAAACCAACCGATCGCAGAGGGGTCGGCAAAAGCTACAACATCCATCGTCGTATCAGTCGATCAATCGTAATTACACGTATGACAACTCAAGCATTGGCCCTTTAAACATTATAACTTCAGGGGTAACAAACGATCAACAGGCTTCCCTTCGCTAGCGCGAAGGGTAGCGAACAATTTCCTTTAAAAATGTAGATCTTTCTTTGAACATGTGCTTGTATACTTCTATTCGTCGTATTACCTGTAATATCGTTGAAAAGAAGCAATTGAAAAAAGCCTGAGGAAACTTTAAAGGAAAAGTACAGATAGCAAAGAAAGGAAGAAACGATGAACAGATAAGAAGTTAAGAGAATCTTAAAGTGAAGCCCGAACTCCAAGTCACCAGAGATCGCTGTTATTCCAGCGCATCGACATGTCTTTATATACTACCACACCAATATTCTAAGAACTCGACGTTATTGGTTCATGCAAACTACGTGTTTGTGGACTATTATTTCGTAAGTACAGGTTGTAAAACTTTCGTATCAAGCAAATGTTGTCACGACTTGATAGTTTGAGACGCCATGTTACGCTAAGAAATGGTAAAAAATATATCAATTTCGAAATTTTTGGTCGTTCTCGACATAAACTCCACCTCATAAACACATATTAATGCGTATATGTTAATCCTGGAAAAGGATTTTTGAATCTGTGAAAGAGAAAAAAGTATTTGTTATATATACAAAAATTATATAATTTAGTCGATAATACAGAGGGCTTTAGGGGCCCCTTAAAACTGTGGATTGCTTTTCCCACACATAATAAAACTTTAATATTTCTATTGTATAATATGAAAGAAAATTGAAGCTCTTTCTAATTGTATTAAAATTGTAACTTTAATTGATATTACTTAACTTATAACGATTTAAAATAATATTATAGGTACATAATAATATTAATAAATTTAATAAATAAACT